AGTACAGGTATTTGAGTTCAACATGTAAGAAGTAGAAAGTACAGGTATTTGAGTTCAACATGTAAGAAGTAGAAAGTACAGGTATTTGAGTTCAACATGTAAGAAGTAGAAAGTACAGGTATTTGAGTTCAACATGTAAGAAGTAGAAAGTTCAGGTATTTGAGTTCAACATGTAAGAAGTAGAAAGTACAGGTATTTGAGTTCAAAATGTTAAAAGGCGTCAAAAAGTGGAGTAAAGTACTGATACCAGAAGAATGTACTTAAGTACAGTAACGAAGAATTTCTACTCAAATCACAAAACATGCATCCGAGGGCTGCACACAGCAAACAAATTGCGAGCGTCATAGCATACAAACAGTATATAACATTATACATCAACATTAGTATTGCCATGTGATAAAAGCATGAGACTGAAGTGATGCTCATGAAGATGGAAACAGATGAAGAGATGTGCTTTTAAAGGAGTCAACGGAAATAGCTTTGGATCTGAAGGTGCTGGAAATGAAAAGGCTCTCACTGGGTCATTTAAAAACAGTAATGTCTTACTTTACTTATTACTCACTGCTGAGTAAGTGGTTATTAGTTACACTACTAGGTTCAAATATTTATAATTATTTAATTCATTTTAAATCTTACTATAAGGCAAGTTTTCAACTCAAATTAAATTCATGCACTTTTTTTGAAAGTGTGTTTTTCATAAATCAGAGAGCAGGGTGCATATACAAGGCTAAATAAAACCGTAAACAAACAAAGAGCCAGCCACGCCTTCATTTAATAACAATTGTGCATGGTAAAAGTAAAGTATATACAGTATGGCGTTTCTTTGTTCTTTGATATATTTAAACACGTGTATTCTCCCCCTCCAGATAGTGCACGGGCTGAAGAGCAGCGACGTGGCCAAGACCTTCCGGAAAGCCATCAATAAGAAAGAGGGACTCAGGAACGTGGCGGGAACGTCGGAGCAGTCGGGAACGCAGCACTCTTACTCAGGTACTAAACATATTATCGATATTCACATTTTCTATATTTAAACTATGCAAGATTTTCAGCAAAACAAACATACGTGCACACAATGACGAATGCTTGGTCCTCATAAGTATAGCAAAACAAACACACCAAGACACACACACACATTTACATAAACACACGGACACTATGGGAGATTTCTATTCAATACCGATAATTAACGATAAAATATATGAAAGCCAGAATGCACAATTTAAAATAATAAACAACACGTTTAAAATCAAGGAAACTACATGTTACTAAAATGAAATCAAGGCTGTGGATTTTCTATCTTGGTAGCAGCCAATAGTAAACAAATCAAATAGAAAAAGTGCAATCAGAGTCTGTATTACTTGGAGACTCTGATTGCACTTCATCTGTTGTTGTGTTGTGTTGCTCTGTTGCCTGTGACCTCAGATTTCCATTGACATAAGTACCCTGTAGAAAGACAACACAAAGCTTGAATCCTTGCAACAGAGTATATATTTCAGGAGCAGAGGAGTTGGTTTGACGGTGGTTTGTTTCCAGAGGAGGAGAAGGTGGCGTTTGTGAACTGGATCAATAAAGCTCTGGAGAAAGATGCTGACTGTAAGCACGTCCTGCCGATGGACCCCCACACCGACGACCTGTTCACCGCCATGGGGGACGGCATCGTGCTCTGGTACAACGCACGATCAATCAGAAACAGAAACAGACCTTTGTTATTCCCACAGAGGCTAAGTGTTAATAAAGAAGCATGCATTCAATATTAGAGATAGAAATCCAGAACGACATCAATAAATACAGAAACAGCATTTTCTAAATTCTAACGATAACGTTTGTTGTAAAACTTCCAAAGTTCACTGAAAAAACTGAAGCATTGACTTTAATTAAATGTTTTATGTCAACACATTTCACATACCTGTATCAGTTTAGTTGAAAGCAATAATATGAAGTTTAACGTCATGTTATATCTTTGAACTAACCCTGAACCATGTTTGTGAAATCTATTAACAATAATAATATATATAATTAATAATACATTTAATAAAAGAAAAAGAGTTTAAAGAGAACATAATACCATACAAAGTGTAATGAAGCCATTAAACCATACGTGTGTTCTGGGCTGGGTTTCTCTCTGTTAGTGTGTGCTAATATTACAATGTTTTCTTGACAGTAAGATGATCAACCTGTCCGTCCCCGACACCATCGACGAGAGGACGATCAACAAGAAGAAACTCACTCCCTTCACCATCCAGGTAACTCACACTTTAATGTAGATATATATTCATTTAGTTTGTTAGCACGTCCATCAACTCCTGCATTACAGCAGATATCCATCCCTTCACATCAGTGGTTCTGAACTGCTCAGGCCTCGGGACACACTTTCTCCTTAGTCAATAGATTGCGACCCGAAATTTAAAAACCACTCAAATCTATTACAATGTAATCCGTTATAATTACTAGAAACCTCTAAAACAAATGTCTGAGCATCAAAATGTAAAAGTAATCTCATTACTTTTGGATTACCTCAATATGAAATGCAATGAAACTTAATCCAAAAGAAAATAAATATCAATCAGATGTTTTTTAGTGAAGTGTATTCTGTAAGACACCAGAACAACGTGACCTCAGAGAAGAAACCAAGATATTTAGGATCAGAAAGGATTTTATTGATATGAAAACCTCATGAATCAGATTCAGGCTGAACTTCTTAAAACATATCAGTCACAAGGTTTCTGAAGGTCTCTGCTGTTACCGGCTCTGTTTCATTTCATAACCCTGCTCTATGTATACAGACTTTTTGCTCTACTTTTTAATTAGTATTTTTGTATTTTAGGTATATATTGCACAGTTATTAACATATATATATA